TTCACTACGCTGCAGCTGTACTGAAACGTCTGCTTTTTCTCAGCCATGTGGCTTTTTTTTAATGCAAAGAATAAAACAATGTGCATAATTTGAGGCATCTTTCAGAGTGCAAAGGCCTTTTGTTGACTTTACATAAATATTACAACAGGATTATTAGCAAAACAAAGAGTTTTAATTCATGCAACAGGAAAACAAAGGTGCTACACACAAAAAAAGCCAAAATACTTAACTTGCGCTTTTCTGGTTAAACCCCAAATGTAGACAATGTACACGTACTGTTTAATACACCTCAATAAACTCAGAGCACAGTAAAAGTAGAGTAACTCAAACAACAACAACAACACAGGACTATTTGCTATTTCAAGCTCTTGGTTTTGATTTAAAAGTGACAGATGTCAGGAAACAACAGCTAATAAATGGCAGCAATGTTTTATTAAGTACCTTCTTACGGTCAGCCTCTAAAGACAGGCGGTAGGCCTCGTCCTGTTCTCTCTTCACCATCTCTCTTGCCTCACGCTCATCCTGGGTGGAGGGAGGGAGAGAAAAAGTTGGGCGTATTAACTAACAACATAATGAAAACCATACAGGGACAAAACATCTAAGCTGAGGTGCCGGGTGTGGGAGCCAGAAAGGACCGAGCAAAGGAAAATGCAGCATGTCAAGTGTGGTTACGTACAAACACCAGGTATGAAAGAGTAGCACCAGAGGGGAATTCATTGCGACTGGGCTGTCATTTACCAGAGCCCGAGCCTCTTTTATGTTTCCTCATCTCAGTTTCACTGTCCCTTTCTCTTTCATTCACTCTGCCTCTCTCTTCCTGTTTGTACAGAGGGAAGGGGACAAGCAGCCTTTCTCTTTCTACCTGCTGTGGCTACAAAGTGTTTTATAAAGACTGGAACTAAATACAAGTGTCCATTGTGTTAACAGTGCACTGCCATTAGTTCCCCATTTTCTGAAAGCTCATGCTGTGTGCCCGGATATGGCAAAGTAACCTTATTGTGATCATCAGAGGACTACTGTGCAGCTAACCAAAAGGACAGTGTGCATTGTTGTATTCAGCTGGAAAATGCAAAGGATACATTTGTGCATTTGCCTTACATAATAGATGAACATTGAAAGGAAACAGTAAAAGAATGGTAGATAGGGACAAAAGCATCAAAAGTGGCTGGTTTCAATAGACTGGCCACGAGTCACGCAAACAAGTCGCACAGTGGTTCATGTCTGATACTAGTGTTCCATTGTTGTACAAATGCACCATCTGCTGTGAATGACCTAATGTTCACCAGAGGCATGAAGTGAAATTTTTATCTATCATGTATCTGCTCAAACATGAATGAATCATACAGGTCCATATACTGTAATAAGTAAATAAAAAAGGTGAAAAATAAAAGCAAAGGACATGCAATTAAGCATATAAAAAAATAAAAAACAAAAGCATTCTAGAAAGATGTGATTTCTAAAACCTTATCTTTGGAGGAAAAACAAAAGATTTTCCAAATCTATATCTTGGCTACTTATCAAGTTAGATAGATGTGTGATGTCTTCCACTAGTGATGATGCACTCCTGTCCACAAAACCCATGGTGATTAGTCAGTCAGTTACTAACTACCAAAATAAAACACAGACAACCACAGGAATGACTGGCGAGTCAGTAAGGTGGGTTGAAATCACAATATTGCTGTCCAGCTGCTTCATTTCCAGACAGACACAAAGGTCACTGTCAAAGCAGAACTTCTGGGTTGGGTAGATGTCCGTGTTTGTGTCAGAGTTAGCTTTTGAAGAGGCAAGGTGGATGAAAGGAGAAAAACGAAGAAAGAGGGAAGGGAGCTACGGAGAGAAGAGTGCAGGTTCAAGTTCAACCCTGTAGATGGGATAGGTCCTGTCAGATACAGGGAGGCCGCCCACCAAGAGACCGGGTATGTCAAGAGGTTTCTTCCATTAAAAGGAGTTTTGACTCCCCACTGTCACCAGGTGCGTGCTCAAGGGGGATTTGTTGAGTTTTTCTCAATAACAATAATAATAGTAATAAAGTAAGGTCTAGACCTTACTATGTAAGGTGTCCTGAGATTTAGTGATATACAAATAAAACTGAATTGAATACAATAAAATCCTGTAGTTACTGTTATTAATCATGAGTAATCTAAATGCACATTATGCCTTCATCATCACTTATATTGACTCCCCACTGTCACCAGGTGCGTGCTCAAGGGGGATTTGTTGAGTTTTTCTCAACAATAACAATAATAATAGTAATAAAGTAAGGTCTAGACCTTACTATGTAAGGTGTCCTGAGATTTAGTGATATACAAATAAAACTGAATCGAATACAATAAAATCCTGTAGTCATGAGTAATCTAAATGTACATTATGCCTTCATCATCACTTATATTCACGATGCTGTCATTTTGTAGTATTTTCCAATCTCAAGCCAGTTGTCACAATGGCTATGATACATAAAAACACAGTAATAAAACAATTAATTTAAACAGATGCCATAAAAAAGGAAGAGGAAAAACTCAAATGATGCTTTCTGCGCCCAAAAATAAATTGGCTCATAAGAAAAGCATGGTTCAAAAATAATTAGCAAAACAAGACTGTTTCTTAGCAGTCAGCTGACTATGGAGAACTTTATATCATGTGTTATCTAAATAAAAGGACACAAGGGGTATATTTGGCAGCAAGTGAACATTCAGTCTTCAAGGTTGATGCGTTGGAAGCAGGAAAACTTTTCAAAAAAATAACATTAGTTTGAATCTTTGTTACAATGGTTGAAATTAAGAAATGCTGTACATTGGTCTCTATGAAGAGAAACATTCAGCAGCTATAATGGTGATAATACACCTAGCGTGAAGAAGCTGTTGAACACATTCTCTGACTTGTCCTCATGCCCAGTTTTCACTCCTGCAACATATTTTTATCACTAATTAATATAATAGATAAGTCTGTACTCTTTCAGATGATATAACTATGGAAGCGAACTAATTCACTAGTGCCATCCAACTGCTGCATTGATTCCTATGTACACAGTATTAAGCAGGTGGTCGGTGTTATGGCTCATCGGTGTAAAGTTTCAGTATTTCACTAATTCATACAACATACAATGTAAGGTAGTGAACCAAGCCAACAAAATGTGTCTGAAGCATCAGAAACGATTGTGTAGTCACAGCTGGCATACAGTAACATGTCTGCTCAAATTTACTTCTCTTTTGCTCATTTTAAAGAGTTCAATTTATGCACAGCAGCTTGTGTTTAGACAACATAAAACATTTTACAAGTGTGGTTTATTTGCCAAATTTGTTTAAAAAAATTGGCTCAGTGGAAAGCAAGGCTTTAAAACAAAATAATTTTGGTGCATGTGCTGAACTAGCACATTTTGGCACTATCTTAAAAATCTCAAATGTTAAGTGAGAACCTACAGTCAACTTCATGACTCCCGGCTCAATCTGACATGTGTACATACTCTGAATTCTTCTAGTCTTCTCATGCCATGATTATTTGAAATGTGACATGAGTATCAAATTCAAAATGCAGCCAGAGCATTGTAGCAAAAATAGCAACACAGAGAGAATAGCTGTCACTCATACAGTAACCCACCTGAGGAAGTCTAACCCTCAGGGTGTGTGTGACAAGATTGACTCCCTAACCACTGTTCCCATCAATGACATGCTATGACTATCACATTAGAAATGAAAAAAAGAGGCTTTCTAGTTGACCGACTGCAAAAATCTTAATACGGTGTGAGACCTGTCATCTATATCAACAGTAATCAACAAAAAGTCACAATAATGTTAGAGAGGCTGAACGAAAGTGTGGGAATAAAAGAGACCATGGCATAAGATTTCACAGTTGAGACGATTCAGCCCAAAGTGTATATGTTTTGATGCACAGAAACAAGGGTCTTATTAATGATCACATTTTAGCTACATGAATCTTTACATTACTCTTATATTTAAAACATTTTTATTACAAATGCTATGTTCTATTTTGCTTCTAATTCCTAAACCTCTGACTGTAAGACACTAAAATCAGAGGAAAAAAAGAGAGCTTGAGAGGATGACTCCAATACACAGCGGACTGAAAACCTACCAGGATAAAAACAGTGTTTCATTCATTGTGTTGTTTGATGTTGCTGAGTAAACATATCAGCAAGTGGCTAAGAAGGCCAGATGAAAGACTTTGACAGTGAGGGGACTTTTACTGTCATAATGTTACAGATTTCAGTCTCCGACATGAAAGATCATCACCGCCCTGCCCTCATTTAATTGTATGGAGTGCATCACTCAGTGGTGTTTGTCAGCTTTCTATCAGGGTAAAAGGCCTAGTCGACAGACAGAGCAGCGCAGTGTTAGCTACACACTGGAGTGAATAGGAGGCCCCTACTGTACCTAATGAAAGACAAAAGACTGAAGTTGGCACAGTGAATGACAAATAAATGGGAATGACGAGATATACTTACATTTGCTTTGCTTGTCATTGGAAGTATGCCACAGTTTACCACTGAAATATGATCTGTACCAACATGTTGTGATTTACAGTGGATTTGCAAAGTATTCTGACCCTTTCAAGTTTTCCACATTTTACTGTTTCAGAATAATCTTAAAACGGATTCAAATCATGTTTTTTCTTTCTTTCTCATCAATCTACACACAATACTCCACAAGTGGAAACACGTTTTTGGACTATTTGGACAATTTATTAAAAATAAAAGACTGAAATATCCCATTTACAAAAGTAGTCAGACCCTTTGTTATGACACTTGCAAATGAGCTCTAGTGCATCCTAATGTTATCAGTAGATACCATCCCTACAGTCAAACATGGTGGTGACAGCATCATGCTGTGGGGATATTTTTCTGCATCTGGGACTGGGAGACAACTCAGGATAGAGGGATGGATGGATGGATGCAAAAAAAAAAAAAACATAAGCATATGTGTCAAACTCAAGGCCCACAAGATCATTTTATATATCTTTTTTTAATGGCGATATGAAGCGCTGATAACACACGCACGCACACACACACACACACACACACACACACACACACACACATCTGAAAACAGAGCCTTTCTAAACCGGTGGGAGGCTGAGTATATGTTTACTGACATTGTCGGTAAACCCGTGTGTCTTATTTGTGGAGCTAATGTGGCTGTAATTTAGGAATATAACCTAATACGGCACTATGAGACAAAACATCAGGACAAGCTGAGAAACGTGAATGAAGAGCAGAAGCTACAGAAGGTAGAGGAGTTGAAGAGGAATCTGACATCACAGCAGACGTTTTCACCAAAGTGAAATCACAGTGAAGCTGCTGTGAAATAAGTTTTATTGGGGCAGAGGAGAAAATCAGCCCGAACATTTACCGAGGGAGAGTTTCTGAAGAGCTGTGTCCAGACAAAAAGCAGGTGTTTGCAAATGTAAGCCTTAGCAGAAATATGGCTGCTGATTTTAAGTTCAAGTTTAATTATTTTGGAATAATATTGTATCCTGTCTGTTTCGATTCATATTGATGTTCAAAAACATTTAGTTTTAGTCTGTTCAATAAATGTTTATCCTGTTAGGCCCGCAACCTAAAGTGTGCTTTGAGTTTTGGCCCCCTGTTAGATTGAGTTTGACACCCCTGACTTAGAGCAATTCCAAATAAAAACCTTGTCTAGAGTGTTCAGGATCTCAGGCTGGGAGGAAGGTTTACATTTCAACAAGACAATGTCCACGAGCAATTTACAAAATGCTACAAATACGTGTTACTACTTTACCATTATGAAGTATTGTGTGCAGATTGGCGAGAAAAAAATGAACTGAATCCATTTTAAGATGAGTCTGAAACATAACAAAATGTAGAAAGCTTGAAAGGGTCTGAATACTTTCTAAATCCACAACATGTCTTAAGCAGGACAAAAAAGACCTGATGGTTACTGACAGTTAGAAAAAGGAAAAAAAAACAGCAAACGAGAAACCTGAGCACAGAAACATCTAGTCTGAAACTGACCTGAGGAAAAATAAAAGAGAGAGCACCATAGACTTATATGAAAAATGGATTATGGGTCACCACTTCCTGTCATTCTTTCCACACCGATTCTCCAAGTCTCCAAATCTACTGGAGGGATGAACACCATTCTTCCAAAAGATATTCCCTCATATGGTGTTTTGATGATGGTGATGGAGACGCTATCTAACATGTTAGTCCAAAATCTCCTGAAGTCTGGTAACTGATTCATATCATCATTCTCCTCAATCAGGTTTTTCCTTTAATTCACCATCCATCTGTAGATGGATCAGCTTCATCTTATTCTACAACGTAAGTTAACGTCATCCGACAAGTGCAAGTTCACACACCTTGTGGATAACTTTATAATGTAAACCCTGTATTGCTGCTGTTTACCTCGAGATCATTCCGGCCAAAGATGAAACAGTTGCTTCTGGCACAACTTTTCAGAGTTGTACAATTCTGCCTGTGAGTATTACAAACAAGTGTGATGTGTTTTCAGTTTAAAAAGCTTTAAACACATAGATTCATTTCTCCAGCTGGATGTCCAGGATCCTATATCGTTGTTCCACCACTACATGAAACAACAGACCCCACCAATGCAGCCCTCTGTGTCGTTTTCATGCAGGGAGCTGCGCTAAAATAATCTGTGTGAATATGGCCTAAGTCACCAGAAACAGGCTGTGCACAGTTACCTGTGCTATTGTATTATTACAAAAGAATACAGCAGTGCTACTTCTCTCTTCTATGGAGCAAAGCATCTTCTACATCTTTAAGAATCAGAGTTGACGTTTGTGTTTCACTGCAGCCCCAGGCTTCGTGGCAGTACTTACCTCATCCTTAATGTCCTCTTGTTGTTGAGCTGTAAAGATCTCCATTGCTCCCATTAACCTCATCATCAGCTCATCCACTGTCGTATTGCCTGAAGATCAAAAAGCTCAATCACAAGGTGTATAATTAATCTTTCTTACATTACTTAATGACAAACATATCTAAAGATTTTATGGTTAATCATGCTCTTATCTAAAGTAGGAACTACCTTGAATAACATTTAGAACTTCATTGGACGTGCGTTTGCCCATGACTATAAGGAGCAGAGGGAAGTGGTCCGTCTTGTATGTCCGTATAGTCTGTGTCACCACACTGCCAAAGTGCCTCGTACACATGGTAAGTAGTCTGGAAGACAAAGAAGTTAATCCAGTCCAAGTTTTACTTCATACATTTGACTGTTTTTCTTAGAAATGAAGACATATTGTATTTAAGAGCCTGAAACTAAAGAAATGCATAAATCATAAAGCAGACATATAAACACACACAAGCCTGTGTACACACATACACAAACATTTTACAACATATGGAAATGGAGACGTATCCTCAGCTCTTCAGAAGAGAAAGACACACAATTCGTGGCATTAAGGACTTTAAAACCAATTCTACATTTTTTTTTATTCCATCAGAGTGACATGCTATCTCAATTGGAATCGTAGATGAATTAGTATTCCTCACCAGACACCCAGAATTGATAGGGCAAGAGAGGATTTCTTATTCCATTACAAAGACAGAACTTTTTAAATTAACATTTCAGAGAGGGAAAAGGGTAGCAGGCAGCCGGGGCCCCGCCAAGCTCCCTGTAAATGTCATAATATTAATGAATTGCTATAGACTGAATGCAAATATAGATTAGCTTTTTCTCCTGCCTTTTAATAAGATCTACTTTAATAACTGGCTGGTAAAATAGAGAAGTTATGGAATGCATGGAGGGACAGCGGGTCAGAGGAAGAAGATAGATGGAAGGGATGGTGTCTGGGGGTGTGGGGATGTACCTCATTAAAACATGATGCCAAAGCTGAGGGAGCTACTTACAAACTTTTCAAACAGTGAAACTGAGTACTGGAGCTTGGTGTGGTACTTCTTAAGGTAATAATCATATCAGTGCATACCAAAAATATAAAAGTCAGACTGAAAAATCAGGGGAAAATGAAAAAGCTACCACATGTAAGCTCAAAGTAAAAACTGAATGTATGAGGCTTTGGAATATGATTCAAACCAAACTTTACCAAACGTTGAACTCTGAGTGACCCACATCTTATGAAAAAAACGTTGGGTACCCTAAATCCTATGATCTTTTTTTGTCCTGACATTTGTCCCTGTTCAGACCTCTACCCAGCCAGACCATAACAATAGCCTGGAGGGTAACTCTAACCTGTAATGAAAGGCCAGGGAACAATGGACACTAACTTGAAGGGTAACCCAATCTTAAATCTCCCTTTAAGCACAAGCCAACCTGCTTTGGTTTACATCTCAAAACTAAGGAAGTCAGTCCACCACAGCAAAAATTCATCATCACAACATAGAAACTGCTCCATATGGAACCACAGCCTGGAACTACTAAAGTACAAATCCACTGTGTGGATGAAAGAAATACTGTAATTGGAATATGAAACACCGAATCCATGAATCCTTTAATAGAACAAGTATGGACACAACACTGACAGCAGAAGGAAGTCAAGCTACTTCAGGAGCAGTCTCAATCAGCCACAACAAAACACAATAAGGAATGCAGCCTACACTCTGTACCAAGACTTAAGGCCTTTAAAACCCTTCAGGGGTAACTGAATGCAGAGGAAACACCTGCACGGAACCTGCAATTAATATGAGTTAAAGACTCTGCTTCAGTGGTTAATTTGATTGACAGCTTCTGATTTGTCACCCATCCCATCTCCTTTTCTCACTGCGCATTCAGACAGTAAAAACAGTTAATGTTTCACTGGACTGTCATGTCACATTTCTTCACATCAAGGTGGTGCGTGAAGATGCGAGTAGACTGGTTAGATCCAACAGTTGCTCAAGTGAGCAGCTGATGAGTCTGGCTAGTACAGTAGCACCGCAGGGAATATTTCTGTCAGCCACCTGTATGGGAGTGTGTATGGGAAACGGATGCTGATAACTGTGTCATACACACTTTGTTTCAAGCGAAAATGGACATGTTTTGATTTGAAAGTGACATTTTGTTTTCCCTCTAAACCAGTTGAGTTTTCAGGTAGGAGGATGTCAAAGGGAGAAGTCAAGCATAAAGAACAGGTTTGCATGTTGTTTTGTCCCTGCTCTTAGTGGTTACAAAGCCAAGTTACACTTATAGACCATTAAGATTAACAATGCTATTGTACAAGTGTTCATTTAAGTGTCAGGCCGTTGTAAACTGTCAACTAAATCTATACAAAAGAATTTGCCTTTTGCTTTTTTTTTAAAGTGCTTGTATGCATGGAATAAAATGTGTAATAGATTTGAGGAAGTATCACCACATTAAAAAATTATCTACTTTGAGTGTGTTTATCTATGGATAGTTGTGATATTTACCATGTGCAATGATGGTACAGTGCCTGTAGGTTATATCAGATTCATCTCCCATGGGTGACAATTACACTAGCATCCAATCAGCAGAAGTGCATTAATGCATAATTAATCATTTAACTGGGAGGCCTGGGAGAATACAAAGAGAAAAATAACAGGCGCATTCCAATATCAGCAGGTTCATCAAACACACACACCCACGGGCACGCACAGTCAGGATACCTTTCTAACAGCTTGTATGATTGATGCCAATCACCAGTCACTTTGGATCAACCAGAGAGCGTGAGAATGCGAAGAAGCAGGCTGTGTGAACGGTGAGTGCACACATGTGCATGCATGTGTTAGCAGCAAAGCTGTGACTAGCTGTGTGTGATGAAAAGCTCCAGATGTTGCCTGCCTTTTAATGTGCAATAAAAAGGCTCAGCTGGGGCAAAAAGCAAAGGAAGCCAATGGGAGAGAAAGGGGAGTGGAATGAAGGAAGGAGGGAATTTCCTTAAAAGAAATAATGGAGGGTTGAGGTCAGGGTGCGAGTCTTTCTTAAATGGTTCCTACCAGAGGGCAGGCTTAAATCTGGAGGTTCTGGGGAGAAGGAGAGCGCTGGGGTAGCAGGATAAAGAGAAGGGAAATAAAGAAGGACCAGGATGGAGAAGAGAGGAGAGGAAAAGGAAAAGATGTAGTAGAAAGATGAGAAACACAGGGACTGCAATGGGCATTTGGGTAATGAGCAAACCTTTAGCAGGTCCACCTTTACCTCCACCTCCCCTGCACAGGGCTTGGTCACCTGTTAAACAGTGCAGACTAAATTGATTTTCAAGTATATTATTTTATATTTTCCAAAAACCCAAATAAATATCTTAGTGGGTGTCTGTGTAATAACGCGGTTTTGCACAGACCTGTCAATTACTAACAGAGGCTGCTGGAGCTACATTAGGACTCCGAGCATAAATGGAGAGATAGAGATGTTTGGACTCCAAGGGAGTCCTTCATCTCCCACTGACCCTCTATTCAGACAGCTTAGTCAAGACTGCCCAATCAGGGGCCCCACCATGCAAACACAACGCCTTTTGTTAGCATGCAACTTCCAAGTTTCAAACAGAAAACAGAAAAGAGAAAATGAGAAGGCAGAGATACAGGGTGAGAGCAATGGAGTAAGAGCTGAATGCCAGCAATTAAAGACATGTCCACACTGATGCAATGTGAAATGCTGTTTGTGTGTCAAACAGGCTTCCATCCACACTAGCAGCTTCAAATTATTTTCTAAAAGCATCCCGTACACTGAACTGGTAAAACAGTGATTTCATTTTCAGTCTTTGAAACCTGGGTTTTACTGACTTTACAGTTGAAATAACATCCACAGTACGCAGTGAGATGGGGTAAGGCCCGAATGTGAAATACAACCCTTCACCACAGCTCAACAGCAGAAGAATCCATGTGGTAATGCAAACTGCAACATGGAATATCATTTAAATGTTCACTTTTATATGCACATTTAAATATTTGAATTGATCATTTGGTTAAACTACACATCTTTAAAACCTCGCTAATAATTCATGTAGCAATGCTTTATGGACTGTAGCATAAAACTGTGCCTAGCATGTGCATTCATGGCAAAACAGAAAACCACATGGTGCTACAGCATCAGGGGCTGACATAAAAGCAGGAAAACTGTGTTACAAAAATCCAATACTAGAGCACCTCAAATTACAACAGTAAAACTTATTACTGTATCTCTGTCTTTCTGACACAGCCTCAACAAACATTACACCCTGTGTCACAAAAGTAGCGCTTCAAGACAGGGCTATTATATTTAAAATATAATACAGGTGGTTCCCATTATTGTTTACAGCTCATGTAGGTTTATCAAATAAAACCAAATACCAAAATGCAACTAATTATACATTAAAAAGATATTGCATTCTTCCAATATGTATGGGAGATTATTAGATTAAAAAATGAATTACTTCATATAGAATTATGAAACAAAAGAGTGCATTGAACTAAATTGTGTCTTAATTCAAACCACAGTTGCAGTACTGAGTAAAGGCTGTAAGTCACACAGAGACCAGGGAACAAACAAAGATATGGTATAAATGATAAATCCCACAGCTCTACAACCAGCAGGCCATCAGAAAAAAAAAAATCGCTCATGCCTCTGGCTGGCTCTAGTACCTGGCTTTGTTAGCTTCTTTAGTGACATCCCAGGCCCATGTGATGAAGTTCTGGCTCAGATAGGAGACAACAGAGTCAGCACACATCATTTGGGAGCAGAAGACGTTGCTGAGGACACTGTCATCATTGTGGAGGTAGATGGCCAGCAGCTTTCTCTGTGTAGAGCAGGAAAAAAAAAAGAGGAAAAGAGAGGCAGACACAAAAGATGTGAGCGGAATGTACCAACGCTTCCCTTGGGACATTTGTCTTGCTGAAATGAAAAGGCCGCTACAACTGATTTTCCAAAGGGAGGTGACTTACTGTTATGGGAAACAAAACAACAAATGGTATCACTGGCTGTCAATAGGGGTGCAAAGCTTTTGTTATAATTGTGGAAAAGTGACCTTTGGAATCTGTATAACACAAACACCTCAGAAAACAATGAACCTTTAACGCTACAATGATGAAAATTACATTTAACATATCCAGTGCTGTGCCATCACTGGAGAGATACAGTGGGTACGGAAAGTATTCAGACCCCCTTAAATTTTTCACTCTTTGTTATATTGCAGCCATATGCTAAAATCATTTAAGTTCATTTTTTTCCTCATTAATGTACACACAGCACCCCATATTGACAGAAAAACACAGGATTTTTGACATTTTTGCAGATTTATTAAAAAAGAAAAACTGAAATATCACATGGTCATAAGTATTCAGACCCTTTGCTGTGACACTCATATATTTAACTTAGGTGCTGTCCATTTCTTCTGATCATCCCTGAGATGGTTCTACACCTTCATTTGAGTCCAGCGGTGTTTGATTATACTGATTGGACGTGATTAGGAAAGCCACACACCTGTCTATATAAGACCCTACAGCTCACACTGCATGTCAGAGCAAATGAGAATCATGAGGTCAAAGGAACTGCCTGAAGAGCTCACAGACAGAATTGTGGCAAGGCACAGATCTGGCCAAGGTTACAAAAAAAATTTCTGCTGCACTTAAGGTTCCAAAGAGCACAGTGGCCTCCATAATCCTTAAATGGAAGACATTTGGGACGACCAGAACCCTTCCTAGAGCTGGCCGTCCGGCCAAACTGAGCTATCGGGGGAGAAGAGCCTTGGTGAGAGAGGTACAGAAGAACCCAAAGATGACTGTGGCTGAGCTCCAGAGATGCAGTCGGGAGATGGGAGAAAGTTGTAAAAAGTCAACCATCACTGCAGCCCTCCACCAGTCGGGGCTTTAGGGCAGAGTGCCCCGACAGAAGCCTCTCCTCAGTGCAAGACACATGAAAGCCTGCATGGAGTTTGCTAAAAAACACCTGAAGGACTCCAAGATAGTGAGAAATAAGATTCTCTGGTCTGATGAGACCAAGATAGAACTTTTTGGCCTTAATTCTAAGCGGTATGTGTGGAGAAAACCAGGCACTGCTCATCACCTGTCCAATACAGTCCCAACAGTGAAGCATGGTGGTGGCAGCATCATGCTATGGGGGTGTTTTTCAGCTGCAGGGACAGGACGACTGGTTGCAATCGAGGGAAGGATGAATGCGGCCAAGTACAGGGATATCCTGGACGAAAACCTTCTCCAGAGTGCTCAGGACCTCAGACTGGGCCGAAGGTTCACCTTCAAACAAGACAATGACCCTAAGCACACAGCTAAAATAACGAAGGAGTGGCTTCACAACAACTCCGTGACTGTTCTTATACTTATACTTCATTTGTATTTGGTGGCATTCATGGGGACGGCAAAGTAAGAATTTCACTGTACAGGGAAACACGTTTCCTAACTGTGCATATGACAAACACTTTGCATATACAGTGGGTACGGAAAGTATTCAGACCCCCTTAAATTTTTCACTCTTTGTTATATTGCAGCCATATGCTAAAATCATTTAAGTTCATTTTTTTCCTCATCAATGTACACACAGCACCCCATATTGACAGAAAAACACAGAATTTTTGACATTTTTGCAGATTTATTAAAAAAGAAAAACTGCCATAAGATGACATGAGAGACCGCCGAGTGCAGAGCCAACATAACTTCTACTGACCACAGCAAGGCCACAACTGGTAAAAGAAAAGCAAATACCACGCAAAATCAAATGGAGAGTGGTGTAAATAAAACTTCTCTTGGAGGCGACAAAGATATGGAGAAAACAAAACAGACAAATCACTCTATTTATTTTACACCAAATGCCAGCAGCCTGTTCAGGTTAGCAGCGGCAGGGCCAGACAATATTGACGAAGCTCCAAATCCAAGGATATTGACACCATCATATAAGCCTGGCAGATTCTCCCTACTGACAATCTAATTAAAAAACAAACACACCCACAAACATTAAAGGTTCCAGGGGACAATGTTGGAAATAATGCTCTCTAAATTACATGTCACTTCTCTTGCTATAAAAGAACAAATAAGAAAAACTCTCTCAGTCTCTGCTTAGTTCATTTTTAACCACGGCTGCGAAGGGGGAGTCAAGGGGTCCGTTTCTCAGGAGCAGTAATCTGGGCTACGTACACCAAAAAATAAAACAAAAAACAAAAACAAAAAAAAACCCCTACACAGGGTGTAAAATGTGAAGGAAAGTGAAAGAAGAAGTTGTGCTATACTGTGGCCTGTGTAGAATAGGAATGGGAGAGCACTGCTGTGTTTGCTCAACGATTAGTGCTTTAGACTAATCTCCAGGGCTCCTAGCGAGAAGGAGCTGGGGACTCATTCACTGGGCCGATTCAACGGCCTGAAAAGATTAAACACTCATGCTGAGAAGACAAGCAAATTCAGTCTTGAGAGAGGAATGAGTGTGAGGGGAGGGAGAGTTTTACAGCACGAGGGGGGGGGAAAAACCTGATACACGCTCCAAAGCTGACATCCCAACACACACGCACACATGCACAAACTTAACTGTGGGGTACCCGCAAGTTAAGGAGGACTCACACTCATACACATGCATGCTCAATTAGAGCAAGTGTAAAGACTAATCAAAGTGGGCATTTTGGCCAACTGAACTCCTTCATCTTAGTTAAACTGTCCATACCCCTCTGTTCCCTCTCCGCTTTCAAGTCAGATCTTTTGTATTGCCCGTCTTAGCAGGGAGGAGCAAATCCCTCAGTTCAGCTAAATTACTAGGTCCAACCTGAGCTAGATAGTGACCCCATAGCCTTTCCTCACACCTGTTCACCTAAATCTAAGCTTGCTTTGTGTGTCTGAAAGAGAGTAAAGATTTCACACAGCAGAACAGTGTGCACAGTGAGCGAGCTTGAGCCCCTGACTTTATAATCGCTCTTATGCTGGAGAGAGAGACGCCTTGTGGTGCTTGAGTTGTCAGCATTTTTTTTTTATTATTATTTTATCCAAATGTATATCACCAATATTTTTCTAGTTAAATGAAGCCTTGCTGCATCAAAATGAGCATTTTCCATTGTGTTGTAATGTCCCCCTAAATACGGTCTCATAATGACAATTATTTAGGATTAACAAAAGAGATACTTAACACTATATGCACTATACTGTAGCTACCATCCTCAGTTCCTAGCTAAGAGTTAAACACCACAGAAAAGCCAAGCTGAACTTGAGAGACATCCATAAAGTACAGTCAATAGTGTTTACCTGTATCACAGTAATAATGCTACAGCTCTGTTATATAAAAAAAAAAGGTCCCAAACATGGGTGTTTAATGGGCTTACAATCCTTTTACGTCTGATCATTTCTGTTATGAGGCTGCTCAGTGTAACATGACAAATCACTGCTAACCAATGTTATAAAATAAAAACAGCATTCAAGATTTGGGTGCAGTGTACATAATACTGATCACAATAATGTGAAATGTATAATAACTTCCATTTACATTCCCTTATCTATCTCAGCATAGGTTTCATATGCATTTTAGCAATGTCTCCCTGCTTCCAGTATGACTGAACACAGCAGCATTAGCAGGTAAAGCATGCACAATGCTGCAAAATCCTTGAATATTTTAAGGGATAATCAACAATGATCGATACAATTTTAGACAATTATCGTTTTACACAGAGGCCTTTAACCCCCTGTTCTTTTACCTGCAAAGTTCAGAGTGGATTCTCCCATTATTTCTCCAACGGTTAGGAAGCCATAATCTTGTAAGAGCTAAGCAACCCTATCTTGTTCCTTATCTTTCTTCCCTCTTTGCTATAACCATCCACCAGAAGGAATTTGAAGTATGGGTATAAACAATATAGATGTGACTGAACTTTAGAGGGTAAGTGGCATCTTTTTCCTGACAGTTATTTGTTTAATTAGTTCTTTTTCAGTTTTCATATCTATGCCACATCAAGAGCTGACTTTTATTCACACGTGCAATATGCTTAACGAGGCCACAGGATACCAGTGAATAAGATGTAAACATACATAGTAAGGTACAGAGTGAAGGGAAGAACACATTGGTCCAGATAGTGATTGTTGTTCAGATGGCAGGATCAGTCTGGAAAAGCAAACACTTCAAAATGAAGAGCTCAAATGACTGGTCTAATGACCTTGCACACACAGTGGGAAAACATTTAGATCGATGACTACCCTCTCACAGGTTTTCCCACATGCAGCTAAAAACACTAACTAGTTATAGCAGAAATGACAAACTTTTAGACTTTTACGTGTGAAAAAAATACTAATAAAAGTTCTTGTCAGCCTTGAATTACACACTTACAGTTAATCAGATGTATCTTTTGGCTACTAATGGTTGGTAATATGTAGGTTGAATACATTCATATTGAGAAATATTTTCAACCTACTGTGGTTTCCTGCATTTCTACCTCCACACAAGAAAATTTTAACTTAGTTAGGAGCAGTAATATCGTTTATGATCTACATCCCTGGAAGTGACAGACATATGCACATCTATATACCATTTGCCATTCTAATTCACCGGCGCTCTTTCTTCTTGACTCTGCAAGGCTATTGCTGGGTTGTAAAGCGGATACTTGGCAGTGATAAATCCCCAAACTCCCGTCTTCAGCAAGGCTATGAATTTTTATGTGTCTTTGTGTGTGGCAGACAGGAGAGAGGAGTGGAAAGCAGAGGAGACTGGGGTTAGAGTGATTAACCACTGCGTTGATGGGGATTTAGTGAGGATCGTGGTGTAGTGATGGGTGGCCTATCTCTCTGTACGCTCTGACTAACCGCTGATCCCCAAGAGGGTTCAGCTCAGCTCAGCTCAGCTCTGCAGCCCAAAGCATTTTCATTAAGGATGGATTGAGTCTATCTCAACAGTCCCTCAACACACACCTTCAGAAACACTTCATCAAATGTAGTGTTTTGCTTAGTGATTAGCCTCTCCTGGGCTTTGAGAGAGTGAGACTGATTCCTCTGTTTATAAACCCACTGAGCAGTCCCCCTTCAGTCAAATCTGCCCAATTCCAATATCCACTTAATGAAGGAGGCTTTTTCTACAATGAGGACACAAAAACTAGATTCCTTTTCAAATGGAAGCAAAGCGCAAAAGATGGGTACATAGATGGAAATAGGGAGGGTGTAATCATGCACATATGCTACTGTGTAATGAAACCGTCAAAAGCAGCATGTTTTGGCCTGTTATCTAGGACAAAACAGGACAAAAACAGAACAGATCAAATAGCTTCTGTTTTTATGCAAAACTCTTTGCACATATCCAGGTTCCCTAAAGCTGTTCTAACCATGGCACAGTTGGCAGGCTAAATCAAGCACACCCAAATAAAAAAAAATATTGTCAAAATGAATACCATTTTGCCCCTGCGCTGTGTAGAGCACAGTGATACCGTACAGTGTGCATGAACACGTCGGCCATATTGTGCTGGCTTAGGAGAGGAGATCAGCTGGGAAGCAGGCGAGATGCCAAGCTTCTCTTTAGGCTTTTTCCATCTCTGTTTGTTTCACACTCTCTACATCCCTTACTACAGCCCCACCAACTCACCTGCTCTTATTTCTGTCTTCTCATAAAGTCTCTTGCTCAGAATTCCAATTTTTGCAGCCTCCTCTCTTTTCAGACCATGTTATGTGCATTACGCCCCTACTGTCATCTATTCCACCCTCCCTCCGTCTCCCTGGGCCTGGTGATCTGAACCCCCCTAACATCTTGCTGTGTCCTCACAGTCTAATAAGACTGTAATCCACACAAGCTGTCAGTTGATACAAGCATCCTTAAAAAGACAAAAGATGAAAAATAAGGGGAAAAGTGGACAGCTAAAAATAAAGCCTCAGCTGTCAGGGTGTAAATTTGATTATATGAATGTGGCTATAAAGTATTCTCCACACAGCAAAACAAAGGGGGTACACCAATAACAGTAAACACTGTAAGACAAAGGACTTCAACCCTGAATGGAATAAGCCATCAGTGCCAACACACCACAGCTATTGTTGAAGTCAATGAAAGTCATTTCATAGCTGCACATGAAGTAGCGGTTTTTAATCAAATTAGCATAAACAGTTATTGTCAAATATGTGCGATAGTTAAATTTAATTTAGCCCTGCTTGGCATATACTGTAGTGCAATGATGTTTCAGACTTGCGCTAATATGCCCTACATTTTAAGCAGTGCTTGAAATCATTAACTTTTTTCAGAGTAACTTTTTCTTCTTTTGGTGTTAATATTGCTTATCTACTCCCTCCACATGTGTAGGGAGTTGTACATTAGTGTGTCGTTTGTGCATCTGTAGCTCAAAAGGCAAAGGTGCAAATGCATTAAAAAAAAGGATAGTTAAAATGGAAAATAAACAACATTTTACCTGGCATAATGCAATATCAAGATACTGAACTGCAGAGGTCAATCAAGCTCATACTTTTAGGATGAATACTTTGTTCAATGAGCAGTACAGTAATGTGCTAACTGTCCCAGTTTAAAGATTCTGCCTCATAAAGTGTATAAAGCACTATGTAGTGTTATGGCATCTCATAAGCCAAACATGTAGATCAAACTTTAGGCTGGACAGCTGGAGCACTTACATGTCTGCTTTGTTTAACGGTAAGGGGGAAAACACGATACAAACTGTGTTGGGTTTGGACATTAAATACTCCAAACTTGTTAGGTCTGGGTCAGGTTTGGATGGAAATATGTGGCCTGATCAATACTCTATACCAATGCAACTCTAACCCCAACCCTTTTGGATTAGTAAAACACAACCTTCAAAATCGCAGGACTTCTTCATGATCTCATCCTTTCAGGACAGAAACAATAGTCAACCACTAGTGAGTACTAGTGAGTGTGAATAAGAACAGGGTTCTACACACTTGTTTATAGTCCAAAGAAATATAGTGTCTATTTTCCTAAAGCTATGGCTAACTGACATAATGAACTTAATCTCTTATATAGTGTGTATTTTCCTAAAGCTTTTGCTAACTGACATAATGAACTTAATCTCTCTGGTTTATTGAAGCCTGTAAAAGTGTAGACTGTACAGTAACTGGTTATAATAGTGACTCTCTGTGTTTTAAATTCCCACACAAGCTCAGTGACGAAGGAGAAGATATGAGAAATTCAGTATCTCCCCTGATAAACAGGGAATGAACAATATCCTGCTCAGGCTGTGTTCCTTGTCTATGTTGTCTTAAGCAAAAAAAAAAAAAAAAAACACCCAAAAAAGCAGTGACTATACACGAAGCAGTAATGATATCAGTGCTAAAGGACAAGCCAACAGCCAATTGGCAACACCTCCTATCTCAAAATTAAAACTGCCTGAAATACAAAGGGAGAAAGAAAAACAGGATTGTATTACCCACTACACAGTATCTCAGTAAAATAACTTTTTCCTATGAGCCCCCAAACAGTTCCCCTAACACCTTACTTACATCTCTGGCTTTGCCATAGAAGGCCTCTTGAGACGCCGCCTCCAAAGACCCAATGAAGAACATGGGGTGGGTCTCTCCATACCTACAGTACACACACACACACACACAAAGAAAAGGTACATAAAACACACTGTTAACAGGCCAGTTTCCTATGATTTCAAAGTCTCTTGAATAAATATGAGAAGCACCTGATTTAGCTCATAGCTCACCTTGAAGAAAATTCGGCAGTAAAGTGCAGTAAGGCATCAGCTTCATTCTCACTATTCTCGGGCACTGTAAGGAGACAAAGTGCTACATGGTAAAGCTTTGGATGTGTGCTGCTTCCATTTAATAGCTGGCGCTACAACTAAAAATTCTAACCTAACATCATTAAGCTAAATACAGTACGTACTCATAGATGATTTCCGACAGCCTGAGGAGCCCATTCCAAACATCTCTGAATCGTCCACACCAAACTCTGATGCATCCTCAAAATCATCCCCTTCACTGTCACTGATCATATGGACATCTGTACACTACAAACACAACTTAACTTTCACCAGAGGAAATTAACAACAGCACTTCAATTGCCATGCGTGTATATGCAGAGTCCAGTGGGAAAAGTAATGCACAGCAATGATCCTAAGAGAAACAGGGTGTGTATATACCTCTTCTGTGGGCTCCTGTGCATTGGCTGGTAAGGACCTCCGACAAACACTGAGGTGATGGCAAGGATAGCTGATTCCAGAAACGGCTAGTGTCATCTAAAAACAGGAAGCATCATAGAAGAGGGGTATGAAGCACAGTTGCATAATCAAGGACAAGCAGTGAGCTTTCAACACAGGTGATTACTTGCTCAATATTAGGCTACTCAAGGTTGATAAGTAAAATTAAGTGCTATCTGTTCATCAGAGGGGGCCAGTGATTGTAAATGTCACCCATGACTTTCTTCCTACTCAAATCTGACAAAGCAAACCACACAACTCACTCCCCTGTAATCTCTCTTAGTGTCTTCTCAAATACTTTGGTTAGCCTGTTTAGGAGTAAATAAACACAGGCTGGAGAAGCATAAATTGCATCATGCAATACTTTCAAACAAAGGCTTATTTATCTCTAATGGGGAGAACCTTGATGAGGTTTCTGTACACCTGGAGTAGCCGATGGTGTGATAGTGGTTTGCAGTAAGAGAGCACCTTACTAATGAGCTCCCAAATCCAAACCCAGGACT